AAGCAAGGGGGCATTTTTCTCCAATATTCACTTTGAAAACCTGGCCAAGCTCCTGGAGGTAAATCTGACAAAAGTGTAGAACCCCCCACCCCCCAACCATGGTACTTGGAATTTTTAATTTTTAATTCCCAGTTTTGTCCACACTGAGCTTCTAGAAATTTATCAGCTACAGGTCAGGCATTCCTACCCCGGTACCGGTTCCTGTAGAGATAGGTATCTGCTCAGGCAAATTGTGGTTCCCTGTCTCCCTAATTTCAGAGGCATCGGTTTGCCCTGTGATCTCACTTCTCTGACAGACCTAAGAGCTACTGATTTTCCAGTTTGTTCAGCTTTTTTACTTGTTGTTAGGGTAGAGCGGTAACCTCTGAGCTCCTACATGCTAGAGACCTAAAGTCTTTGCTTGTGTTTTAAGGCTTTTTTTTTTTTTTTTTAATTTTGGTCTGGATTCGTGGGGTTTCCTCTGTGCCTGCAGAACCTAATGCTGACCCAGCTAACTGACTTGGAAAGAGACTGTGCTCAAAACCTTTACAGTGTATGTCTTCCATCTTCTCTTGATTGATCTGTATGTAGACTGAGGCGTGCATTCAAAGCTCTGCTGCATTTCAAGCCTCCTTTGCTTATGATTTTCTGTATCTTCCCTGTACATGTATGTGGTTTTCCAGTGGGCTAGGGGTGTTGGGAGAGCTTACCTGGCCTTCTCTTGGCTCTTTCATTTCCAGGTTCTTCCTGTACCGTTCTCAGTGGCCCCAAACTCATACAAACCAGGACAGCAACTTTAGGCTACCACATATGCAGGTTTTCTTTCCTTTCATGTCTTCTGACTTGGCCACCTTTACCTGATGAATTGGGGGGTGGGGGAGTTTGCCCCTTGCTCTCCGAATTGAGTCCCATGCCTCTGTCACAAAGTTGCTGGTTCTATCGGCCAGCCCCCTTCTGATAAAACTGCTTTTCTCAGATGGACTGAGGTGGGTAGGAGCTGCCTCAGGCAAAAAGGCCAAGAAGACTCTCTCTTTTACCCAAAGCTCTAGCAATTCTCCGAGGATGCTTTCAATTTGTTGTCTGCTTATTTCCAGTGCCTTCAAATGGTTGTTTTTTGCCATTTTATTCAATTTATGTATGTGTGTGTGCTGAGAGGATGCACAGACCTCTTCACAAAGGCAGGGCTGGAAGTCTCTACCTTTGTTTACATTGTGATGTACATTTTGATGCAATTTTACTTACTCTGCAGTTCATTTTTCATGGTTTTTATATACATAAATGTGTGTAATTATAAACAATAGTATTATGTCCTAAAAATGCAAGGTATTTTCTCCTTAATACTGTTACTTTTTATTTTTTTAATACTGTTATTTTTTAATACTGTTGTTTTTAACTACTTTATTTATAAAGTCTTACCCTTTCAAAGACTACAAATTCCATCTAATATACTAAATATTCCTTTCACTAATTGATAAACATGTAGATTAAAAAAATAAAATAAAATAAAAATAAACATGTAGGTTGTTTTCTAATTTTTTTATAATTACAAATAGTGCCACAGGAACCTCCTTATGCCTGTTTCCTTTTGATTTTACTAGGTAGTATCAAGTTATTTTCAAAATTTCATATCAATTTATACTATCACTCCCACCATATATGAATGAGCAGACCTGTTTTCTCACAATCTGGCAAGTGCTAGAGATTTTCATATTTAAAAAATTTGGACATGGGATGGGTGAAAACTTGACTTTAAAGGTATGTATAGTTTAAGATGTGTAATATTCTGCCAAATTATACTTCAGAGAGTTTGTGTCGATCCTAAATATCATTTTTTGAAATGATGACAATTTGATAGAAACTTGATCTTTGCTGTTTTATATTTCTGCATTATTACTATGATTGAAACTTTTCCATGTGATTATTGGCTATTTGCTTTAGGTAATGCTCAGTCTTATATTTCTATTGTAAAGTAGATGTAAATTTTAGCTCTTACATTTAGGACAATGATCCATTTTGAATTAATGTTTGTGTATGTTTATGAAAGTGAGTTTTTTTTTTCCTTTTGACATGTGAATACATGGTTCCAACTGTTCCAATTCCATTGTTGAAAAGACTGTTCTTTCCACATCGAACTATCTAAGGATCTTTATCAAAAATTAATTGGCCTTACTCATACAGGTCTATTGGGTTCCAGACTCTGATCTCTGTTCCTGCATCAGTAGCAAACTCTCTTTATTACTGCTGCTTTATAATGAATCTTAAATCAGGTAGTATGTTTGCTCTAATTGTATTATTTTTCAAAATAGTTTCAGCTGTTCTAATTTCTTTGCATTTATATATAAGTTTTAGAGTCAGCTTGTCTACATTAACAACAATTGCTGAGACTTTGTTAATTTGTGTTAAATCAAGATATCAATTTCTGTAGAAGTGACTTTACTGTATGTCTTCCAATCTATGAATATATTGTCTCCATTTGAGTCACCTCTCATTTCTGTGATTGGGGTTTTGTAGTTTTCAGCACACAGATACTGTACACATTTTGTTAGATTTATACCTAAGTGTTTCATTTGGGGGGAGGTGGAGGAAAGCAGTATTTCTATAAATTTCAGGTTCCAGTTGTGCATTGCTAATGTATAGAAATATGATGGAGTTTGCATGTTGACCTTATATTCTGTGATTTTGCAAAGCTTAAACTCAGTGACTAGTTCTAGGAGTTTTTTTAGATTCCTTAAAATTTTCAACAGAGACAGCTGTATTGTTGCAAATACAGTATTTTATTTCTTTTAAGTTAAAATGTCCTGTAGGAGCCTGTGTGGCTCAGTCAGTAGAGCATGTGACTCTTGATCTTGGGGTCATGAATTCAAGCTCCATGTGGGACATCAAGATAACCTGAAAAGAAAATCAGTCAGGCTCTGTGTCTTTTTCTTGCCTATTGCACTGGCTAGGACTTCCAGTATTGTTGAATAAAAGAAGTGAGAATTAACATCCTTACCTTGTTCCCGATCTTAAGGGCAAAAACTCACACTCTTTCACCATTAAGTATGATGTTAGCTATACTGTTTTTGCACATGCCTTTTATTAGATTGAGGAAGTTCCCCTTCCATTATTAAAGGATGTTGGATTTTGTCACATGCTTCTTCTGCATCAGTTAAGGTTATGTGCTTTTCATCCTTGGATTCCTAGTACGGTAGAGTACATTCATTCAGGCTTAAATACTGAACCAGCCTGACATTCTCAAGAAAAAAGCTCCCCTTGATCTTGGTACACTATTCTTTTGTATACATTACTATATATTTTCTTGAGGATTTTTTGCCTTTATGTGCATGAACGGTCTTATTTTAGAGTTGTATTTTGTTTTGTTTTTTTCTTGTAATGTCTTTGTCCAGTTTTGGTATCAGGGTAATGCTAGGCTCATAAAATGATTTGGGAAATGTTCCCTCCTCTTCAATTTTCTGGAAAAGATTATGTAGGGTGGGTGTTAATTCTTTAAGTGTGAAGTAGAATTACCCATTGAAATCGTATGGATGTCAATATTTTTCTCAATAAGTTAACTACAAATTCTTTTTTTTTAAATAAATAAAGGCCTATTTGAGTTATCTGGTCATCCTGGATTATGTTTCATTTTATTTGTGGTAGTTTGTGACAGACACAAGTTTTAGATATTCTTATAATTAACTCTATCAACCTCTTTTTCTGTTTATCTTCATGCTCAGAAAGTTCTTCCTCCAATTTTTAATGTTAGGAGTTTTGTTTCCAGTGCTATATTTCCTTCTGAATAATTTATATTTTCAGTTTTGATGTTGAAATGTGATCCATTTGGAATTTAGTGAATGATAGAAGGTAAAGATCTAAATCTTCTTTAAAGTTAAAAATTAGAATATAAGAAAAGAATAAGATGGCCTTAGAATCTCCCAAATCTAGAAGCATAAAACTTTCTCACTTGAACAAAACTTTTACATATTCACAAATAGACTAAATGTGTTTTAACCATGATGACTATTTTTAAAAACTCAAATACGAATCCTGTTAGTACACACAAGAAATTTTTTTTAAAAGAAGATGATTAGCTAGAAAACACAGAATCAGGAAATCTTTGATGAATATGCTCAAGAAAATAATCAAAATATTAAAATAACTTCTGAAAACTGAACAAAATTGTTTAATGACATGGGGAAATGCAACAGTAGAAAACAGTAGGATGTAATACTTTCCCTACAATTCTTTCTCTCTTCCTCTTCCTCTCTTTCATATATGACTGGAAAATAATGGGCACCTAAATGGATTCCTTTTATAAGCAGAGAAAATCAACATTTTAAAATGTTTAAATCTTATTCTTTACAAATCCCCACTTCCTCTTGATGGGCCACTGAATCCATTAGCATCCATTAATCTAATCCAGCCAGCTCAACAGGGCACGCTGTCCTTCCTCACCAGTTCTTTTGTGTCTCTCTCAAAGCTACTCACTTTCCAAAGGGTGACCTCGCCTGAGAAAGGACTACTGCTGATGGGTGAATTCATTTCTTGGCTTTCCTCCAGAACCCCCAGTACCTCACATTTGAATATAGGTCATGAAAATTCTAGCTGCTACAAACATTCTCTCTTGTCAGCCAGAGGAAAATAGTCAAAGAGATTGAGAATGGAGGAGGAAGTGAGGAGGAGCCAATGGTTTTGTCTTTTATCACTGGATATCCTCATCAACCGATACAATCACAGGTCACATTCATAGTGTGTATGATCTCTCTACTTTTTATGCAGGTGAATTCTGCTGAGATTCTACGGGAATAAAGGAAATAGAAATCAGATGACTTTATTGGTTTTGATGTTCCAACTACTTTGCGGAGATATTATTGTGCCTAAATTAATATTTAAATGATTTTGTACAAAATGGTGTCCAGTCCAATTTTTCCACCACAGTCATGAATAGCTGACTATAATCTGTCCATATTGATAGATAGACCATTGCCAGTGTGCTTCCCTCCCATGGGAAATGATGATAACTGCAAGCTACCCCCTCCACCTACCCCTGTGTTGCGCCTCTCCAGACATGGCATGAGCCTTGGCTAGTAACGCGCTTGCCTCTGCAGTTTGGGGGCTGACTTCAGTGAACAAAGAAACACAGATAGAATAGGCCTGGAATAGAGAAAATCATGATCAAATAAGTACCCAAATGATAGTGTTTCACTGAGGATTTTCTAAGAGCTCTCATGAAATTGCTACCTGAGAGCTGTATATATCTAATCATGGAGTTAAAAGAGAGATGAGTTTGAGTCCCAGCTACTCCCTAGCTATGAGTCTTGAGCAAGTAACTTCACCTTCACATGTAGAATATATATAGCTTCCATCAATCAGGGCTTGGAAAAGATTTAATGAGATGGTACATGCAAAGCACTGGGCATAGTACCATCACATGGTAAGTCCTCAATAAATATTAGCTATTATTATTTTTTCTTTGGTTTCATAGCAAAATTACAGTTACAACTTTAGCTCAGCCTCTCAAAGATCTGCCATCAAAGGAAGTCCAGGGGAGCTGAGCATGGATCGTAAAGCCATATCACCTGGGTTCCTATCTAGCTCAGCCACTTACGACACAAGGCAATCACTAACTTCTTCAAATATAAAATGGAAATTTCAGAAATTATTGTTGCAAACAGTTACTGTAAAGATTAAATGAATTAACATATGTGTTTAGAATACCACCTGGAATGTCGTAAGCATGAGAGAAGTGGAGATTTTATTATTATTATCACTTGTACTAAAATGGAAGGAGAAAGAAGAGACAAAACATCTGGTCCACACCCACCAACAAGAAAAAAAACCACCCATGCTTCACAGTTCACAGGTCAAACATCATGAGGTATTTCAAGGAGCTCCAAAGATTATTAAGATAACACTACGGAGCTAAGACATAGTTCAGAGCTAAGACAGGCTCTGGGAGCTCAAATTTTCTAAGTTCAAACCTCTGCTCTCCTACGTGTTAGCTACACAACTTCAGCTGAATTAGCTTTTATGTTCTTTATGCTTCAGTTTCCTCACTCTCAAATAAAATAAAATAATAATAATGCCTCCACGGCATAGGGTTATTTCATGGATTAAATGAATACATCCTCAAGGGCACATAGTAAAAACATTCCATAAATGTTAACTATTATTTCTGTTGTTGGGAAACAGTGATTATACATTGTTTTATCTATTCTGATCAGACCACTGCTTACAGAAAGTCTTGTACACAAAAACCAGACCCCTTTCTCTGTAAGCAGTGGACTCCCTGCTTACAGAGCAGCATTCCCTAACGTTTCTCCATTGTATGAATACTAATAACTTTGGATTGTGAGATTACCTGCAATGCCTTTACTACAGTAGCAGACTATCTTCACATATACCGTTGAATTGCATTGTGCATTTTCTATGATATAGAAAATCAGATATTTTGATCTACTTTTGGCTTTGGGAGATACCTGAAGCCACAAGCAAGGTTCTCATTCAAGGAGAGAAAAGGTAAATTTAACAAGCAGTTTCAAGGGAAATTTCAGGTATATGATAGATAAAAATATCCTACACTGGTTTTCATTATAATAGACTCAACAGTCCTTCCAGTTTTGTTTTGTTTTCCCCTGGGCATTTGTCAAATTAGTTACCTCCAAGTGAAACACTCTCTTGTCAGTTTAAGTTTTGACTTGTTGTTACGACCAGCTACACTAGCCTAGAGGACAAATGCCAGCGTTATACCAAAATGTCATGATTTTTTTCACTTAAGAAAGCCCTTTGTGTTCACTAAAGACTTAAGTTTGGTTGTCCCTATGGTTTTTTTCCCCTGGAGTAGACTCACTTGGTGACCTCTTCCTAACACCCACAGAGATGAGGGAGGCCCAGGAGGGGGAATTTGGTTTCAGATCAGGTCAAAGAGCAGATACATATACCATGAGTCAGTGTTCTCTGCCCATGTTGTTTAAGGTTGAGGAAGGGCTTTTGTCTGGATTTGGCAGGAAATCCATCCCACCCCACCTCGTTCTTCTGAGAAGCTCAAACTTCCCTGGCCCTGGGAATAGGACCTGGGGCCAAACAAGGCCTCTAGGCTGGGGCTTCTTCCAACTCACCAACCTGCTCCAAATACTGGATGGCCTGATCATGGTTCCTCCTCAGCTGCTCGATCTGAGCGATTTCCTCATATAGACTGACCAGATCCAATGTCCTATCACCCTTAGCAGCAATAACATTGTCAATTGCCTTTTCAAAGTATGCCAGAGCGAGGTTCAATCTGTGGATGGCCAAGGAAGCTCTGTAAGAACAGGGATAAAGATGCAGTCAGACCCCTTACTTGTGCAGACATAAAAGGAACTGACCCTAAGAACAAAACACTTTGGCCTTCATAGGCCCATCATGAGTGGCTAGCTAACAATCCATTCTTGGTATGAACAAGCTCCTATCAACCTGCATTTTACCTACCAGATTCCACTGACTACCATTCACTTACATTAATATTGCATGCTATAGTGTATTTTATAAAAAAGCAAAAGGAAAAAAATGGCTTCCAGCAATTCACAAGGTGGGATGATCTACCCATAAACATAGACTTTCTAGAATCAAAATAAAATTTTATTACTTCTGGCTCCCTCTCTTTCAGACCAATGCAAATTTATTGCTTTGTCTTGTTTGATTTAGTTTAATTTATTCTTCCTCAGTTAAAAATGAGAGAGGACAGAGAAAACAATGTAAATATCCCCTCCAAAATGCAGTGGTTAAATAAATTGTAACACATCATATAATATTTCAGACTTTAAAAATCATGCTTCCTTTTTAGGCTAAATAATACGGGGAAAAATTAAAAGTGTGCTAAGTTAAAAAAAAAAGTGGTATGACTATACTTAAAATTGACCCTGACCTACCTTTCTTTTCTTTTTTCTATCTATCTTCTATCTATCTGTCTATCTATCTATCTATCTATCTATCACTAATATCTAACTATAATGCGTATATAGCAGTTTTGTTTGGGTGGTGAAATAAAACTTTTATTTTCTTCTTCATATCTGTATTTTCAAATCTTCCAAAACAAAATACAGTTTTTAAAAATGAGAATAAAATAACATTTCATTCAGTTTATCCTTCTAGGGACAGAAAGACACCAGGAGAACATGATAGTTAAAGCTGGTTTTCACAGATACTGGCTTTATAGTCAAAATCCAGTGGCTGGTATTTCCTTCCAAATAAAACAAGGTGAAGCACACCTAAATTGGTTGTTGTGAAGATTAGATTAAAATTTATACATGAAATCACTTAATATGGTAGATACACAATCAATATTACTTCCCCTCACCCCTTGCTTCCACCTTTGTATTCCCAAATTGAAAAAAAAGTGTGTGTATAAAATCATTTTATATAAGGCATTCTGCAAATTATAATTTATTTTAAGCTGAAAGGCTTATCCTTCCCTGAAGGTTAGGATTAATAATCAAAAGAGTACTGGCCTGTTATCTGATAATTCTTTACCAAAAAAATTTGATCATCAGACCATTATTTCCTTTGATCATAAGTTACACAATGAAAATGCCTCTCATCATGGGGCACCTGGGTGGCTCAGTTGGTTAAGTGTCTGCTTTCAACTCAGGTCATGATCTCAAGGTCCTGGGATTGAGCCCCTCATCAAGCCCCGCATCGAGCTCTACATTCTGCCCTGCATCAGGCTCCCTGCTCAGTGGGGAGCCTGTTTCTCCCTCTCCTGCCCTCCTGCTTTGCACTCTCTCTCTGTCGAAGGAATAAAATCTTTAAAAAGAAAATGCCTCTCATCAAGAGCTTGTCGGGAGATATTAGCCAAGTTGTCTGGCCTAAATAATCATACTTTATTGCTCCCACCTTTAAAACAAAAGAAGGGATTTGCGCTTACTAGATATTTGTTCAATATAAAATATAACTTGATATGGTACAGAAGGTGAGCTATGGATTCAGATGACTCGTCTACAGTGCTGGCTCCTTTACTTATTAATTCTGTCACCTTGAGTTACTCTTTCTGTGTCTTAATTTTCTTATCTGTGAAATGAAAATAAAAATATCTTCCTACCTCAGAGGCTTATAGTAGAGGATTGAGTTAAATAAGTTATGTAAAGCACTTAGACTAGTGTCTTGGATATAGCTATACTTAGTAAATGTTCTAACACTTAGAACAGTGCACATACAATATAGATACTAAGTAAATATTGCACAACAAATGAATGAATGAAATATGCACTAGAATTTATTCTGAAAAAGGAGGAAGGCTATCTTCCTCAAAAACCTTAGCCACTGACCCATGTGACAGCAGCAGACGTTCACTAGATTCTAATTTATGGCCCTGTGAACTTATATCCATAGTTTAATTTAGCTCTGGGCATTCCAACACCATCCCACCATTTCGCATTTGATTTCTAGACTCATGGTTAGAGCAGACATCACTCATGTACTTCACTTACCATTCAGTCACCATCCCTACCATGCCAAGTGCTTACAGTTTTGGAAACAGATTGCCTTCAAGGATGCAAAGATACTTTTAAAAATTCTAGGTAATAGTAAACCTTTTATTTATTTTTTCTTCTAATAATCTGATGGGTCCACTTTTGTATGTAACTATCATGATTCTCTTGGAGGATATCTAACTCAACTGTGAAACAGCTGAGTCTTGTTCTGGCTTGAACAAATCCCATGTACTTGGTTTCCATATGGAACAGAACTTTCCTTAAAAATGCATGCGCTACACATAGCTTTAATGGGTCTCCAATAAACGGTCTTCATGAAGTGTTCTTTCCTCGTCTTTTAAGATATCCTACTTAATGACAAAAGTGGGTTGGCAATTCAGATAAAGACAATTTGAGATTAAGTCTGAGAGGTAGTCTAAGGGTGAGGAGTGCGTGAGTTCAGACCACGGATCTAACATTAAAAGCTTGTCACCACGGACGGTTTGTTTAATCTCATTTTGTTTTCCCTGCCCTCTGTCTAATGAGATCATGACTGCACCGGCCACCTCAATGGTGGTTAAGGATTAAATGGGTACCACACACAAAGCTCAGACCATGAGGTGTGCATTTGGGAAACACAAGCCTCTTTTACTGTCATTTGAGGCTCTGGGGGTTTTTTGCCCTCAGTATTTTTCTTCCCTTATACGGAGAGCACACGGAACAATCAATTCCAGGCCTTATTCACAAAAGCCTAACCCTCCCATAGCCCACATCTTACCTGCCCAAAGCAATTGTCAGGTCTTTCTCTGAGACTTGTAATTTGCGAACACCTCCCTTATATAATTCTTTCAGCTCCTTCATGTTTCTCTCTGCCTTCTGCAGGTTGAAATAAGCCTCTCTGCCAGTGAAACAGTCAAGGACAAGGCCAGGCACACAAACTCCCCCATTGCCCAGGGACAGCATTTGATAAACAAATAAAAGGGCCCTTTGGGAAAACGAAGCAGAATTTGAAAATAGGCACTTTACTATGTTATTTTCCATATGTGTATGTTGTCAAGAATTCTTTCGGAAACAAACAGAGCCCTGAGTTTCCCATGTCAGTAGCCTGAATCCAGGGCTGGGGTGGGTGATGAGATGTGGAGGCGTGAGTAGAAACTGTACCCTAGGCTACATTTCCTGTGGAGGCGTCCACTGCATGACAACAGCCATGCAGTTTTCCCAAGCTGGTTCCTATGAATGGTAAAAGAGAGGAACTAAGTCTGCTGAAAGGGACTTTCTGGATCATTTAGAAAGTTCAAGCAAAGCAGGTTTTTGGCAAGAAGCAAACAGCAGGAAAGAAAATCCCCTTAAGTCCCAAACATCCTTCTATTTCCCACATTTTCAATAGCTCCTTCTAAGGGTGTGACAGTGGAAGGCCACAGATCAGTTTTTGCAAGCTGAGTATGAAGACCAAAAAAGTAGAGGGGGATATGTAAAGAGGAGAGACTGGGGGCACATGGTCTCAAAGATGACTCATGATTAATTTTTTTAATACGCAATGCTTTACAAATGTGCGTGTCATCCTTGTGCGGGGGCTGTGCTGTAGTGTTCCAACTGTAGTGTATGATCATTCATGAATGTGAAACGCCCTTAACAGTTTTCAAGCAGAGATGGTACCAAAAGGCTGTCAAAATCACAAGCTTCCTGCAGAGTAACAGTTTCCTCCTGGTGAGAGAGAGAACGAATTCTTTTGTCTATTTTGCTTGGCCTCTAGCTTCATGGGTAGTATTCTCAATAGTATTTCAGAAAAACAAAAATGATTAAGAGTCCATTAAATCAGAGGTTTCTGGCTGCATATTACAATCACCTGGAGGACTTTAAAAAAATCTCAATAAACAGATGACCCTGCCCCCCCTCCCCCGGACCTACTAAATCAAAATCTCTAGGGTGGGACCCAAATAGCAGTAATTCTTAAAAGATCCCCAGGAGATGATGCAGCCTCATTCAACAAACATTGCTTCAAATTCCCACCCATTCGTCCTCTTCTTAACATCACTCCCACTGCTGTCACCTAGGTCCTCACTGCTAACACGGATCTTCTTTGGTGCTCCATGAAGGGCAGGACAGATGCTGAGGTTTTCAACTGGTTAAGAGATGTGTCACCAGTGAGATCCCTCCCGTGGCTCAGCTCAGATATCATATGAATAGACACAGGAAGAACATTCCTACCTTTCTAGATGGAGATGAGAGGCCTATAGAGGGAAGCCTGGGCCAATCTCTCTGGCTCCTGAGTGAGACAACCCCTCTGGCACCTGTGGCCCCTGGCCCCAATCTTCAGGCCCAGCTAGGAAAGGAAGGATATTGGTTCTGCAGGAGCCAGGCCACCCCCAGGGTGTAGTACAGCATGACCAGAGCTTCCAGGATTTCCTTTTTCTCCTTGTTTGAGGCTGTGCTTCCCTTCCAGGTCAGCAGCGTGTTCTTGGCAGACTCAGCATGTTTCTTGGCCTGAGCTGGAAGGCCTAGGGGAAATTTGAGGGTGGGTGGCAGGACGAAAAACATTAGAAAAAAGGCATGTTTCAGTCAAAGACATCTCTGGGAGGAAAGAGGTGGGTAGTGTGGTTGTCAAATGGTCTATAGTATTTGTTTCCCAAGCTGGCTGTGCATCAGAATGATCTGGAATGCCTGTAGAGAATAGAAATGCCTGGGTCCCACCCTGGATCTACTGAGTTGGAATCTCTAGAGAAATGGAGTCCAAGAATCTACATTTTTAATTAATTCCACAAGCGCTTCTTATGCAACCGTAACTGCATTAATCCGTGGGCCTCTGCTTGGAAATCACTGATAGAGACAGGAGGGGAAGCTGAGTATCCTGCTCTCAATTCTGGCACTAATGCCACGTGATCTTTTCAACCCACACAGCTTCTCCATCCTCCAAATGTAAAATGACAATAATCATAGAAGCTGCCCTTTTACCAAATACCTGGAGACTGTCCAGGAACAAACAAGGCTATGCCACAGAGTGCTATGCTTTGAGCTCTCTGGAAAAGCATTCTAAAAATACAAGGGCTTATGCATACAATTACTTCCATCTGGGGATTTTTTTCAATCCAAGATGAGTCTAGTTAAACTAATTGGTCACACACACACACACACACACACACACACACACACACACAATCTGATTCCTAAATACCATGAGGCCCCTTCACTAAGATGACAAAGGGAATGCCAAACTCCAGCCAGACAGAACTCGTGGTGTTTCCCCTTGTTTTCTAATGAAAGTCTGGAGTTGCTGGGTACCCACTTGAACTGCTATCTATCCAGTTAATTAACAGAGGTAGACTTGGCAACATTCAATTTCTAGAGCTCATTCTTCATCTTTCAACCTAGTTCATGTCTAGTGATCCCTGATGGACAAGAGAAGCCCCGGAGAAAACAGAAAGGTCGTCAGAGAGCTCGTTACCCTAGGAGTCCTCCACTTTCCTAGAGATAGTCATGGCTGGTGTTCTGGTCAGCTCTCCCCTCTGCAGGTGGGTAAACATATTTACCCCTCAGGTAGGCCAGCCGTGCCCCTAATTCTCACGTCACACTTCCAGTCCTCAGTCTGTTCCACCTTTGGTCCTTGGAGCCTGGTTTCACAGTACAGGTATAGTCAATGACCATAAAGATGACTTGAACACTTGAGGACTGCAGCCCTCATACATTCCAGATGTGCAGGACCTCCTTAACGAGCTGCCACAAGGGCAGGGAGCGGGAAGCAGGGAGAAAGGAGAACAGAGCTTCTCTGGGAGAGGCCTACAAGTAACCTAGAAGCCAGGAAGTCTTTGTAGAACACTCAGAGATGCCTGTCCTACAGGTCTCAACTCAAGAGAAAAATAGGAGTCTGTGGCAAAAGAGGGATGTGTCTCAGGTTAGCAGGTAACAGAGCCCTCAGACTGCACTGTGCAACATGAAAAGCCTATTAAAATGCAGATTCCTGGGCCCTGCTCCCAGGAGTTGTGGTTCACAGGTTCTGAGGTGAGAACAGAGGATTCACATCTATAACCACCATCCTAAGGTGATAACTTGATGCAGGCTGAGGACCACACTTGGTGAAGCATTTAGCAAAATCTTTATGCAAGCGGTAGGACTCATTTTTGAAGAGTAGGTAGTTTGATAGAGAAGAATGAGGAAGGGTTTCCACTTGGGGTAAACAACCTGAGGCCATAAAGACAAAATAAGCAATAAACGTGTGTGTGTACACACTGGTGGTGGGATGTGGTGGCAGTATATAGGAGTGTCGAGGCAGTAAGGAGGCCAGCCCTTCTTCAGGGGAGGTTTAAATGTAGACACATAAGGTGCGAATTGGATAAGTAAAATGAGGTCTTGGGGGGGCGCGTGGGTGGCTCAGTAGATTAACCGTCTGCCTTCAGCTCAGGTCGTGATCTCGGGGTCCTGGGATGGAGCCCCACGTGAGGCTCCTTGCTCAGCAGTCTGCTTCTCCCTCTGCCCCTCCCCCCTACATGCTCACTCTCTCTATGAATAAAATATTTTAAAACAACATGAAATAAAATAAAATGGAATCTTGGATGCCAAGGTGAGGAGGGAGGATTGGATCTGTTAGGTACTGGGGAGTCTTTATAGGTTTTGAGGAAGGGAATAGAAACAGTAAAGTCTGCCAAGGACACTAGACCAAGAAAATAAAACAGGAAACTGAGAAAGTCTTTTTATCAAATAGGCTGTTTCCTACAACCAGGTGGGCCCTTGGGAGTGTGGGAATAACTATAATAATAATAATATAATAAATAATAATAAATAATAATAATAATGTGTGGGAACTCAATCTAGATGCTTCCTTTGGTCTGTTGGAAGGAGAACAGTGAAACTGGCTGAGCCACCTAAAACCACCCCAGAATCTGGGGTCCTGAATGGAGGACAGACGAGAAAGTTGTTCTGAGGCTTTGCCTGTCTGCCCTGCCACTCATCCCCCAAATGCCCAGTGCTGATTGTGAAACCCCCAGAGGAATATTCTTCCTCTAAGCTCAACAGCTAATTAATTATGTGGTTTTTCATCTCCACTTTATCATGCCCCGCATTGCGGTCCTTCTGGTGAAAAAGCTGAGCTGGTGACCATTGGGCCTGAGCAAACGGAGCTAGGATCTCAACTGAAAATGGTTCGTTAAACTTTAAAATCAGCCCTAAAGGAAAAAAGTCATTTCCTTATGGTTCCCAGAATCCACTCTGGTCTCCAAAGTGGGCTGCATATAGCCCTACAGTATGCAAGATGCCATAATGGCATAGGGCAAAAAAAGACAATTGCTCTATTTTTAAAATTTTTGTTTTTATTTTGTGAGTATTTATATTACATAATATGTTAATACCATTATACGTAATTTATAATAAATACACATATATGGAGTTTGCTCACATTTTTTGAAGTGATAAGGGTGCTAATTCTCAAGTGTTTAGAGATCACTGCTCTAGATAATGTTTTCCAACCTTTTCAAGTATGAGTTCTTTTTTTTTTTTTAAGATTTTATTTATTTATTCATGAAAGACAGAGAGACGGGTAGTGACATAGACAGAGGGAGAAGCAGGCTCCTCACAGGGAGCCCTCCCAGGACCTCAGGATCATACCCTGAACCGTAGGCAGATATTCAACAGCTGAGCCACCCAGGCGTTGCCGGGAGAGCTCTTTTTATGTTTTAAAAAACCCTTCACTTTGTGATATTTTTATGGCATTTCCTGACAAAAATTCATGATGTCAGAAAGTACGATTATGAATCAGGATCAGTAATCACTTGAAATAGATGTGCTTTTGTGAATCTCAAGCACACTCTTTCCTGTTAAAATAATACCTCAGATGTGTACAGATAGGAGTCTCAAGTCAACTCCCCCTGGAGGCAGCTCACAGACCTGTGATCTGGTTCCGTAACTCCAAGTCCCACTTGCCCAGTTCCAGTGGCCATTCTGAGAAACCCAGTCATTTTCCTTTACTTGCTCTTCTCCCAAGCCACAGACACTATGCTTCCCCTTGCATCGACAGGGCAGCAATCATAGACGTAAAAATCAGGCCCTCTCCTGGAGCCTGAGATTGAGAAATTACAGGGAGCTACTGATGAGCTGGAATATGGGCCCTGGCATTGTCCACCAAACATATCGAATCATTTTGCTTTTGTCAGGGATGTGATTCCACCACTTTCATCTGTTACTCTGACTCAGGCCAGAGAGGATCAGCTCAGAGACACCCGGGCTCTGGAGTTGCTGCTGTCACCTTGATCATTAACTATACTTAAGTTCGTGTGGACGGTGATTAAGAGCAGGGCCTGGAGCCAGGCTTCCCAGACACCGATCTTGCCTCGGCCACTCCCTACCAACCCTGTGGCCTTGAACAAGTTACTTCCTCTATCTGTGCCACCGTTTACTCACCTGTAAAATGGTAATGAAAATACGTTCCACCCTGTAGGAATCTGTTGTAAGGATTAAGTTAGTTAATTCATGAAAAAGAGCACCTGGCACACAGGGTAGAAGCGAGTTTGAATAAATGTTAGCCATCATCGTCACTACTGCTCCTACTACCACCAGAGTCTGTTCTCTTAAGCAGTTTATTATATTTGCCCTTTCTTTGGACATTTGTCATAGAGCTGCTTACAGAACCTCTGTAAAAGGCTGCGTTCTCAAATGCAACCTCATTGCAGGCGGGCATTAGGTTTCCTGCACGTCAGATCACCTGGTTTTTCTCATTCTCTGTTATCCCTGTACCAGTTTTTTTTTTTTCTTTTAACCAACTAGACAGAGAAGGTAGGGTTCATGACTTACGCTTCTTTTTTTCTGTATTTTGCAACACTTAGAGACCAGGATACGTAGAAAGTTCCCAGTAATAACAGGCTGATTAATTTATGCTTCATTGGGATGCCTGGGTGGCTCAGCGGTTGAGCATCTGCCTTCGGCTCAGGGTGTGATCCCGGGGTCCCGGGGCGGAGTCCCACATTGGGATCCTTGCATGGAGCCCGCTTCTCCCTCTGCCTATGTCTCTGCCTCTTTCTGTGTTTCTTGGGAATAAATAAAATCCTTTAAAAATTTACTGTTTCATTAACAGCAAGCAAAATATCAGGAAACTGCTTGTCCATGTCACTATATTCTCCTTCTTGAACTCTGGGACACCAGTTCACCACTAGGTGACAAAGTACCCTGTAGTTCTGGGCCTGCCCTTGCTCAGCCGTGGAATCGCTGGGTTCGTTGGGCCCACCACCAGGTCCGCTGGCTCTAGTCCCATCTGCAGTCCCTTCCTCTAGTTTGACAACCAGCAACCCTTTCACCTGCTTTGCAAAGGCTTCCTGTTCTCTCCTGTTATTGACTCCTGAACCCCATTCCATCAATTGCTCTATTTCTTAAAACCTCCAGACGTTCTCTCTAAAGGGCTCCTTCCTCACTGCCAAAACTGTCTCCTTCTCTTCTAAAATCATCCTCACAGGACTTTTCTGCCTTCTCTAGCTAGCCTGCTTTCCCTCATTCCTTTCAATATGTAGTAGGTACCACA